CCAGCCATTGGGACCACTCTCAGCATTCAAGAAACAAAAGATGAGGCAACCCATCATTGTGCCAAGGCTGCACATGCTCAGTAAGAACATCTGGAACCCTGTGGAACAGGACTGACGTTGCCTGGACATGCCCTCCCCATAGGAGATCATAGGTAGTCTGCCCCATAAAAAGGGGAGTGAAGACTGACTCTTTGGGATGCCCTCTCCGTCTGGATCAGAACCATGCCACATCACCTATCCACCCAGAGACCCTGCCAGTGATCTCCCTCTGGACAACACCTGCTGGACAAGGGCCCCTTTCCAGCCTGGATAGGTAGCTATCACCCCCACCTCCTCTTCAACCAAGGACTTGGACTCTGTTTCTCTTCCCTACCTGGACTCCAAGCCTTTCATTGAGTCTCTTTCTCCTGCTGCCATTGTGAGTGATTGTGTGTGTGTGTGTGTGTGTGTGTGTGTGTGGGAACCAATAACTTCATGGGGCTGTGTAGTGTGTTGTCTGCTTAATAAACCTGTTATTTGGACCCCTGAGTTGGGTTTTGCTCCAATCTTTGCTCCTCACTCCAATCTTTGGTCCTCATCCCTCTAGCTTCTGTTTGATTTCTCCCTGCTTCTGGCTTAGCACCACCTCCAACACCTGTCCTGAGCTCCTCTCTGCCTCCAAACCCCCTGTTTCTTTGCCACTGCCTTTTCCCCTGATCTCCTAGCTTTCTGCCTCAGTTTCTTTCCTGGCTGTCTCCTCCTTGCCACCACTTATCTGCACCCCCCCAATATCTTAGCTGTCTGTCTCAGTTTCCAGCCACAAGAACCCAGGTTTCTGCCTCTCTCTTTTTCCTGGCTGTCTCCTCCTTGCCTCCAGGCTTTATCCCTTGCACCAGTGACCTCAAGTAACTGTGGGGCCACTTGATCTTAAGTAAACCCAAGTCTCAGTTCCTCAGCCAGCTTCTCTCTAGTCTGCTAGTTCTAATCCCAGTTCTGGCAACTTTCTCTCCCTACACTCCAACTCTTTCTCTCACCTTAACCTTCCCACAAGCACACACATACATACTGTACCATACAAGCTGAGAACTTACTTGTGTGTAGGTGGGGTGTGTGTGTGTGTGTGTATATATATATATGTCACTGTGTGCATGATATATGAATTAGTGATATGTGTACTGAGCATGTGGATATGGACAAATGATTTTTGTCTAACTTTTGGGGTGTATAGTGTATGTGCTTGGATTAGTGATAGGTATGCGGGTACCTAGGCTAGTTTGGATGTGTATGTGCCTGAGTTGGTAGTGTGTATGTGTATGCGCCTAGTTGATTTGTGTGTTTGTGTATGTGCAATTGTGTCACACCCACCTGTATAACAGCATAACATTGAGATCCTGAGAGTTGGCCTGACCCCACAGGGCAATAGCCTTCACTTGTATTGCTGAAAATGTTAAGTAGAAAATAGTGAAGCTGAGGTAATTTACAATGAATTAAAGCAATTTATATGCACAAATACTTCTTTTTTTGCATTGTACATGTCTGGGCTTTGTCACAGAAAATAGCCTAAATTTGGGTCTCAGAGGGACAAGATGAGACCTTCAGTTAAGAGCTATAGGTCCAGAACAAGATAGGAAAACAAACCCTAAAAAAAGTCTTGTAGAAGATGTCAAAATCTGAAAATAGGCAAAATAGTCACATAATCACATGTACACAGCACATAAAGCACAGCATTTTCCAAGTGGAAATAATGCTTTCAGGATTGCTTACCATCTAGTTTGTGGGTCCCAATTGGGTTTAGGCATGAGATGGGTATTTACAATAAATAGAATGTGATCTATTCAGGTTTCTCAAGAGAAAGATGCTGCTTACCCTTCCCAGAAGCAGACCTTTAGGCCCTTGAGAAATTTACATTGAAAACTCTGGTGCCTACTGTGGTGAGCCAGTAGGAGGTGCTCCTGTGCTGAGCCACCCACCTCACTGTGCCTGACAACCTTCCAGGCTTCGAGTGCCTCTCTGGGGTGCCTCACATCTGGCCGACCCCCTTCCTGGAGCACAACCACTAGCCTGGGTGTAGAGCTGCCATCACCGAGGGATAGGCTTGATTCTGGCACAGTGTCCCCTGGGAAACACAGGCTTAGTAGCCCTCGAGGGCACTTGGCTTACTTCAAGAACTTGGGATGCTTCCCTCAGTCATAAGCACAAGTAGTGGTCTCCCTTAGAGAGCCGAACCAAGGGGACCCCAAGGCATAATCTAGACCCACTCCCAATCAGTCTCCCATGTTAGGTACAAAGGAGAACTTTATTGGTTACAAGGAGTAGGGCTGGAATAGGGTACAGAGTTGAGTAGTATCAGAGAACTCCCATAGAGCAAACAGGGTGGCTGGAGTAGCTTTTGATCACGCATCTGAGTTACTGCAAGCTATATATTGAGTTAGATTTCAGGTAGCTTACTCACAAGTATCATCCAGAGGCAGGTGGAGATTCCCTCTGGAGGCAGGCAGTTCCTTGATCATGAGTTTTGAGAGACAGCAAGTTTCAGATGGTTCAGCTCTTTTTTTTTTCTGAGTTTTCCTCACGGCTGCTGCCCCCTCCTCCTGGGCAGTCTTTAACTTATACAGCCCTTATGACCTCCTTTATTTGTTCCAATGGAGAACAGCACCTGTTGGCTGTCAGCCAACCAATTTGAAATGCATCACTGGTTACTGGGCAGACTGGCAGTCTCTAGCCCACCAGGGAGCCCAAGTCCCTCACCTAGGTATGTTATGCCAGTCACATAGGCAGAGGGAGCAGGTTTCCCCCCCTCCCTCAGGAATGTATCCAGCTCAGGTTACCTAAAGAGATAGGGTAAGGTGTGTACTCTCTGCAGGGCCCATACTAACCAAATTGCCACAGGGCAGAGTTTTTGGGGAGAAACAGAGGTGGCCTTCTGCCACACTTAGAGACTTGAGGCATTTTGAAATAAATGCTCTGGCTTCATTTCTAAGATGTGTCCCATGTATTTCCACTCCATCAACAACTACTATAGTAAATGATTTCATAGTAATAAAATATCATTTACTGTGTCAGTTTCCAGAAATTACAGGCTTACTATTTCTCCCTGAACAGTTTGCTGTGGTTTTTAACTACTACTTTTTTTTTTTTTTACCAGTTTCTCTTTGAACCCCTTGATTGAACTGCTTTTAATTTTTTACCCTCTAACCTGTCTGACTTGACCCTACCAGGAGTCAACACTCCCAGAACTGATGCAGTTTCCTATGACCAGAGCTCATGAAATGCACATACTTGTACTAAAATTCACATCTTGTACTGTCCCCAAGGAAGAACATATTAATATTTTTTTATAAAGAATCCTGGACTAAGGCCTTAATTATATCACGCAAGATAACATGCAACTAAATCTTTTTACAACTGTCACAGTAAATAATATGAATCCAATGATTTTACTAAAGTACTCTCTGTTTCAGTATCTACTACAAAGGCTAAAGCAGTTGGTGCACAATAGAGTATTACTATATAGTTGTATGCAGATAGATAGACAGACAGACAGTTTTATTTATATAGTAGCAACACTCTACATGTATATAATCTATTCTGCATCCAGAACTGTACTGTTTAATATTCTATTTCTCTAAGCCCTGCAATTAACTTGAGATGCTGTATGTGTTACACACTAAGTATTCTTTACTGTTATTGGCTTATTAACGCTTAAGTATACTACTCAGTTGGTAAACAAAATAATTATTTCCCTTTAATTTCTATTGTTATTAAAGATTTATTTTTGTTCTTAAAAGAAAAAAATCTATGAATTTAACTTTTAAATTGAAGAGAGAGATTTTCTACAGTGATGTTACAAAACTTTACAATTCTGAATGAATGAATTATTTAGCTACAGCTCCTGTTTATGAATTGTCCACAAACATATTTTTTTTTTTATCAGTTTGTTCACTGTTGAAAGTTATTCCATGCTATTAACAAACACATGTCAGCCTTTAAAGAGTTCATAAAATATGCATTTTGACTATTCAGGAATTCAATCCTTGTGCCATGGTGATCTAGCTCACATTGTATTGTTTCTATTATGTGATTGGTAGCTTAACCTTTGTAAACTATTTGTACTTCCTACTGAAATTAATTTCAGTTTTTCCATCAAGCAAATCCAAACCACAGGGCCAACATTTGCTTTTAATCAGACAAAATAAAAGTTGCACAAGGGCTCATGAAGAGCCACTAAGTGTGCAGATGTAGTGGATACAAAATTTTAGTTAGTAATCCTCAAAATGTTCAGAAACATTTTTTCTTCCTATTCATCAATCTTTACTCAAGAGGCACACATAGATTACACTGGCTGAAAAGAAGTGTTGATTTTTATTTCATTGCTATGAGACTTGTGCCTCTGTATCAGTGCAGCAGTTATTTTGCCAGAAAAAGACAGTCACTTCATATCTCATATTCTTAATAAATCAAACTGAATGCAGTTCAGAAAGAATGTCCCTTTTATAATGTCAGAATGATTCTAAAAGGCACATTGCATATCCATGAATTATCTCTGCTACCCTGAGAAAGGAAGAGGATCCTATTAAAAACCGAGTATACTATAGAAAAAAGAGGCTTGAAAATAGGTTAAATAATATGCAATCATCATTGCATTTCAATTTCAGTATAATGTTATTTGCTTTCTACAGCAGCTGTGCATAATACTGAAATAAGTCCCAATTCTACTTTGTGTTTAAGTCCTTTTGCTTTTCCTGTTAATACAAAGCTGCCTCACCCAAAAGTCAGGGTAGATAGAAAGAGAATATTACCCTCCAGTGGCACATGGTTTAAGTAAGACCTCCTGTTCTAACTTCTTCGTTTCAGTTAGTATAGGTGAGATGATAGAAGGGGAAGGGAAGTAAAAAAGAAACCCATTGTGTCTATGTATATTTTGTATATTAAAAGGTAAAAAATAGCAACTATTGTTTTAAGATCATTCCCAAAGAAGTTAATACAATTGTAACATGTCCTATTAGGAGGAATCAGTCACCTACTGTTGGGAAATATGAAAAGATGTGGATTTATATAAAAACTGAGCTGTAATAAGAAATATTTCAGTGTTTACTATGACAAATTAGCAAACTGTTTATCTATGTAGCAAACATTCAGGAAGTTGTTAGGCAATTATTTTGGAAAAGAAGGGTATCCTTTGACTTCAGTTTTATTCATGAAATAAAACAAACAAACAAAAAAATCACATATTTTAACCTCTTCAGTTAAAACAAAAAGAAAAAATCATTTCTAGTTTTTTATTATACTATACATGTCACATTCATTAACTCCTTAACCTACTATAAAACCTCTTTAGCCTTCTCCACAAGCATTTTGAGAAGTCTTCCTTGTGGGTTCTACCATTCTTTAGGTAAGTGGTTTGAGACTGAGGTCCAAGTAAGTGACCACAGGAATCTGTTCTTGCCTTAGAACCTATAGTTATCCCAGAAAATGGAAAACTAGAGGTATGTATTTGAAGCCTGATTTAGACAAACCTGAAAAAGGATGCAGGGAATTAGTTGAGGTTTCACAATTCAGAGCCACAAAAGATGAACGCTAACATACCAAAACAGAAAGGTTCACTGTACAAAGTAACAGAGGATGAAAATTTCATTTTGTCCTATTGGCCTTTCAAAGTTTTGAAAATTAATTTCATTCTTCCTTGGAGTATTATCAAGAACTTCCAAAAATTTTTAAATGGAAGAAAGCTTAGATTTTTTCCCCTAATTTCTCCCTACCTAGTCTACCCTAGTCTCAGAAATCTTACTCTTGAAAACTTCATCAAAATTGATATTTCCCCTGGCTTTAGTGATATATTCTGGCTTTTGTGAAACAGCTTGTTTCCACACATGCAGATGTACTGATAATATTTCTACTAGCTCTCTCTCAAGAAAATTATGACAACAGAAAATCACATGAAGTAGTCTTGTCTCCTATCTCCCTCTTCAATGCAAGTCACCACCCCTATAAAGCTGATGTTGTTCCCTTTCCTTCCTCATATACCACAGGTGTGTGTGTGGGGGGGTAGCTGGTTCAGCAATTGCCTCCTCCAGATATCCACCTGCACAGAATTATCTTGTGCAGAGGGCTATTAAGGCTACCTTTACACAGGTGTGTGGCACAAAATGGCCTTAGGAGATCAGAGATTCTAGCCTTTGGAATTCTCTGGATGAATCAAGACATATTTTTTAGGGCTGTGTGAAGAGTTGGGTGCTGATTTGATTTGGAGGAGATTCAGCCTGATTTGGTGGCTGAATCTCCAAATCCGAGTTGAACAAAGGGACCAATTAAAAGGTCTGAATTGATTCAGAGTTCTCTGAATCTTTGGAAAAGATATGGAGAGCTTTGATGATTTGGACAGTCCATGGTGGCTGCAACAGGGAGCTTCAGTCAGACTAGGAGCTGGTAAGTAGGGGCAGGGGAGGGGAGACTTGAGGAGGAGGGAGAGGACCATGTGAAGACCCCTGCCAGCACCCATCCTCTGCCTGCTCCCCCAGGATCCCCCCCCATGGCTTCCCTGCCTGCCCCAGCTCCTAGTGCTTTAAAAAAAAGTCCCACTCAGCAGGTGCTGCCAGGTGGGGGGTATCCCCACTGTCCCCCATTGCCCCACATTGCATGGAGGGTTTTGTCAGAGAGCCCCTGACCTCCCCCACTCCCCCCAATGGCTGCCCCACCTGCCTCAGCTCTGGCCCTTTAAGGAAAAAAAAACGTAGAAAAACCCTGGGACTTACTGTTCCTGCAGTGGCCCTGGGGTTTCTGGGGGCTCATGGAAAGGCCCCCCACATGGCAGGGGGCAGCGGGGATTGCCCCCCCCCACCAGCAGGAATGGTAAGTCTGGGGTTTTTCTTAATTTTTTTTCCTTAAAGGACTGAAGCTGAGGCAGATGGGGCAGCCATGGGAGGGCCTCAGACACTGGTAGGGGAGTCGGGGGGCTCATGCAGAGCCCCCTATGCAGCATGGGGCAGTGAATAGCAGCAGGGATTACCTCTCCACCTGGCAGCACCTGGTGAGTCAGGTGTTTTTTTTCAAAGTGCTGGGAGCTGGGGTGGGCAGGGCAGCCATTACAGGGCTGGGAGAGTGGGTAGTAGATGGGCCTGGCTGATTCAGAGATTTGGTAAATCGAAGATTCAGCAGCATCAAATCACTCTCCCCCTTCACACAGACTTAATATTTTTTCTATTACTAGAGTGAAGTTGGATTTAATATTATTAAACAATGTTCTTTTATATGTTTGCAGTGCTATTCTGTTTTCCTATTCTTACAGAAGTTTTTAATGCTTTGACATTCCCAGTTAAAAAAAAATCAAAGATTAAAAAGCTAGAAGTTACCAAATTATACTTTCTCACCAATAAGTGACTGATCTAAATCAGGGTCAAAGTACTGGTAGGTCAAAGTAAGAGGCAGTTAGCACTGCTCTTAGAAGGGCTGCGTCTGCTTTATAGATGAATAAATGATTTCCATCTCTAGGGCTTTCCCCTTTATAAGCAGAAAGCTCACAGG